CCAGGTTGGACGGGGCTCTGAGCACCCTGACCTGGTTGGAGATGTCCCTGCCCATGGCAGGGGGTTGGACTGGGTGACCTTTAACGGTCCCATCCCACCCAAACCAGTCTGTGAGCCCATGAAAAGTTAAAGTGCTGTCGGTGTTTCTTTGGCTGGTGAGTTCTTGCCCTGTGCTGGAGTCACTGGGAGAGCCAAGACAGAGGGGCAATGTCCCTGCTGGGGAACGTGGTGACACTGCAGCTGCAGTGCCTTTCCCCTGTTGCAAGGGCTGTGTAGAGATCCGGGGCCAAATTTGCTCCCCTTGCCCTGTGCCACCTCTGCCTGACTCCCTGAATTTTGATTAAGAGAGAAAATAACCTCAGAGGAGACAGAGTCCCATCAGAAATGCCCTGGGAAGGTGCTGAGGAACTAGGGCAAGGGACCTGATGTCTGCTCTGGAGCTGGCTGCTGCCACGTGCCTGCACTCTCCTCGGGAAGCCCTGTCCCCCGGGAACCCCAGCTCTAATGTGGAGCCTCCAGAGTCGAGTACGAACTGTAATTACAGCAAAGAAGTAATAGCCAGGTTGTCTTGTCTTTCCAATTAGTGTAATGAGGCTTCTGTGCAAGAAGGATTTGAATAGCTAAGAAGCTTAAATAAATTTGGGCTTGGAATCATAGCTGGAGATGGGGACTGGCTGGATGGTGTAATCCTCCTCTGCCCAGGCTTGCCCGGCCCCTGCAGCGAGGAGCTCAGTGCTCTGCTCCCCTGAGCTGCTGTTCCCCTCGTTGCCCCCCTCCAGCTTTCCAAGGCCCCATCTGTGCAGTCTCCTCTTCCAGGATAACAGAATTTTATTGAGCTGAAAAGTCTTTTCAGGCTTCGTGGCTGGGACATGATCCCAAACGGCTCTGAATCTGGGAGTAACAGAGTCCCACCATGGCAGGGGTGGGCAGGGCCCTCTGTGGGTCACCCACCCAACCCCCTGCCCAAGCAGGGTCACCCAGAGCAGGGGGCACAGCACCGCGGCCAGGTGGGGCTGGAATATCTCCAGAGAAGGAGACTCCACAGCCTCCCT